TATTAACAAATTTTTGCTAACTATATCAGAGGCTGCATCTGAAGGACTCTGACCGGCCAAACAGAGCACTGTTCAGCTGTCACAGCTGCCGCTGAACATTGAGCTGTACATTGCCCTATTTTTTTATTATTATTATTATTTTTTTTTTTTACACTTTTATTCTTATGCTTAACTGCCTAAAAAGCCAGGTTGCAAACCTGTCTACATATGATCACCATGGTCAAGAGAATAAACGATATAAAATCACACCTTTGTAAGATATCAGTCAGTATTTGAACGTGTGTGTGTGTGTGTGTGTGAGTGTGCGCGCGCGCGCGTGCGTGTGTACCTGTTTTTCTATTCTGGTGGGGACTTAAACCTGAATACACGCAGACTCATGGAGACTCATGTCACGGTGGGGACCTAAATTGAGGTCCCCACGGGTAAACAAGCTAATAAATCACGCAGAATTAAGTTTTTTGAAAATCTAAAAATGCAGAAAGTTTCCGGGAAGGGATAGGTTTAGGTGTAGGGTTGGTGTAGGACAATAGAATATACGGTCTGTACAGTAGAAAAACCATTACGCCTATGGAGAGTCCCCACAAGGATAGCAAACCAGACGTGTGTGTGTGTTTGCGTGTGTGGTTTGTAGTTTTTCATATGTATCATTACATTATTCAAGTAAGCTTCAAGCCAATACCTGTATTTAAAGCTGTAATCCAGCAATTAAGAACGCAGCAAACCAGTGTAATTTACCTGGCCTCGGTCTTGGCTAAGCCCTGAAACATTCCCACCGTCTCCTCCATTATGATGTAAAACATAAAAATAAAAATGAGCAATTCTGGCTCCACCTATCCTGTCAGGATGGTCCTCTCGTCAGCTGTCCTCTCGTACAGTTGCTATGTGACAGAGTCAGAGATTTGGGAACCCCTGGTGGCGCAATTAGGAAATCCTGCGAAGGCGGGGCGTCCTTCATGCACTTCGGAGGTGTGGCCTTCGAAGTCCGTGCCCTCCGAAGTGTGTGCACTTAACTTTGGGACACAGCTAATTTGTCTGTGTACGTGATGTGTACTTACTCTGCAGCGGCAGCATATAGCAGATCCAGACCGCCAAGACCAAATGCATTACCACTGTCATGTCTATTAACATGCTAAAACTTGTCATAGTTGAAATTCCGTTATTATTTTGTTTTGTGGACTATATGTAAACATCTGTTATGTGAAATAGCTTTGTAAGCCAGTAAGAAATAATATATAGTCCCTTATTTAGTTTTTTAAATTTAAGAATTTGCAGATTCTGCAAGGTGTATGTAGGCTTATGGCCACAACTTGTACTCTGCACAATGACAAAAAAAGTTGAATCTAATCTAATTTGACATGAAGCACACTGATGTGAAATAAGTAGGTAGTGGGTCATTGGTAATTAACTAATCTTGGGACTGCACAGTAGGAGTAATAGCTGTTGAGACACAGTGATTCTCAAGGCATGGAGGCGTAATGCAATTTTTGTCTAATTTTTGTCTTGTTTTGACTAAGATGGCATCTGAATTGTGCCCAGCAGGTCTTACAGAGGTGCTAGAGAATTTGGGTGGTGTTGCTGGAGAGGGGATTCTGTGAGGCACCGTGAATGTGCAACTGAAGAGGAATCCCTCGTCCTTCTGCTTGGACCACAGGGGCTGGGATAATCACATTAGTAGAAGATGGGAAGTAGACAGTGGCGTGAAAGCTGGGAGAGCAATGGCACGACTAATCCCGTTACTGCTGGGAGAGAAAAGAGCGACGCTGGTTCTCTGAGGAGGCTGAGAAAAATCCTACTTTCCCAGGAGTGAGTTCACCTGTATGGTAACACACAAAAGTTGGTCTTTTGATGCCTATTACAAGGAGACAATTGGCACTTGGCACGTACCACAGTTTTTTTTTTTCTTTTCTTAACACCATCTCCCAACATCCCACTCTCCCCAACTCCCCACAGTAAAGAGCTATTACACATTGCCAATGTATAAACAAAACTAAACAAAACAGAGGACAGGCATTCCATGAGATCCTTTTTGACTCCCCACTGGTGAAGACGTCCCTTACAGTAGGAGCTGCTGTGTGTGGATAGGATAGGGAGGGGGCAGCGCTGCCAAAAACATAGGACTTGCTTTATCTCTAAATTGTTCCTGCACCCGAGTTCAACTTTAATGCAAACTTGATACAAGAACAGGACAATAGGATGCGCTCTATAAAACCGATGCCCTGCTGAATTCACTGGCAGATGGCCACAATTAAGTACAGTTCTAGACTGAGGAGGCATTTCATGGGGTGGATGGGAGGACATGTCCCGTATCCCCACGTGTTTTGCCTCAAGAGCAGTGCTAGTGCTCAGAAGCAAATTTTCCTTGCACTCCCTGGCAACAGTGGGAAAACAAAATGTCAGATCTGATCTGTCAAGTCTTTAAGCCCTCTTCTTCTGTCTGTCTTTCTCTTGTCTTTCGGGATTGTACTGCTGTATCGGTATAGGGATTAAGCTGAGTAGTAAAACAGTGATTTAATGAACTTTGCATGGCAGCATGCCGCACTTCAACCACTATTGCAAATAAGCAGGGCCAGTGGGAGATCGCTATGGGAACATTTCTGAGCCATATGGAAACAGGGGCAAGGACTTTTGAGGCTGTGGGTTTTTAATTCCACTAAAAAAAAAAATCAAATACTTGAAAACAACAGAGTCAGAGTGTGAGAATGTTCTCAGGAAGAAAAAAAAACGGACAGACCACCAGGTGCTCTGTGTGTGATGCAGACAGTAAACAAAACAATGTAAGAAAGGAATGTATCCGCTCACCAGACTGTTTTCCATTTTGCCATGTAATCACAATAACGCTCAGCTTTTAATCAATTATACTGCACATGACTGCATCATTCAATCTAAATATAGCTAGATTTAGAGTTGCTTGTTTCAGTTTGTATAATTTAAGACATTTCTTTTAAGACATTTAATGAACAAATTATTTTCTTCTTTTGTTAATGTGAGGAGGGAGCATTAAAAAATACATTAAAAAATCAAACTTGAACTCAACCGACATGTAAAAACTATGCTTGCAAGATGTGAGACTCTTTTCAAATACATGCATAAAATGTCACAAAGCTTCCATTATACCCAGATGTACAACACCAAAAATATGTGAAGTGTCTAGAATTGTGAAAAAGTTTAGCACTAATGCCACTATTGTGGTCTGTTAATTTGTCCCATTCGTGAGCCCTACAATGCATCCGACAGTGGGTTTGAATCATTAAAAGGTTGTTGTAATCCCCCACCATTGTGTTCAGACAACGCTACGTTTTTAGGTCTTAAATCAGCAAGATCTTCAATAGGCAATATCCAGAATGCATTTCCTGACCTCTTTTTGTGTCATTTTAACAACCACACATTTAGTCCTTAACTAAGTGAAGTGAACTGAGGTGAAGTGAAAAATGAAGCCAATCTAAATTGTGAAGAGATGTTTCATTCCTAGAACAAATGTGACCCTGGACCACAAAACCAGTCATAAGGGTCAGTTTTTTGAAATTGAGATTTATACATCATATGAAAGCTGAATAATAAGCTTTCAATTGATGTATGGTTTGTTAGGATAGGATAATATTTGGCCAAGATACAACTATTTGAAAATCTGGAATCTGAGGGTGCAAAAAAATATAAATACTGAGAAAATCGCCTTTAAAGTTGTCCAAATGAAGTTCTTAGCAATGCACATTTCTAATCAGAAATTAAGTTTTGATATATTTACAGTAGGAAATTTACAAAAGATCTTCATGGAACATGATCTTTACTTAATATCCTAATGATTTTTGGCATACAAGAAAAATCAATAATTTTGACCCATACAATGTTTTTTTGGGCTATTGCTACAAATATACCCCAGCGACTTAAGACTGGTTTTGTGGTCCAGGGTCACAAATTATTAAAAAACTGCCTCTTCAAAAAAGATTTTTATTATTTATTTATTATTATTATTTTAGATATTTAAGATATACTAAGCTCTAGAGTCCTATACCATTTAATGTAGACAACTAAAATCCTATCAGTCTCTTAAAGGGGTCATATGATGCGATTTCAATTTTTCCTATATGCTGTGTGTTTCATTGTGAAAGCGAAACTACTTTGTTTGGCCTTCCAAAAGAGGATGATATCCGCTTTGTCATGCCTAGAGCTGATCCGTGCTGGTCGCAGAGGAAAAACATCAACTTCGCGCTGTGGATCACCGGATTGGCTTTCACCGTGGACGACGCAGAGTCCAGCCCGGGGTCGTCACATGTGGTTGCCGCAAGCCTCCTTTGTCAAATCCGCCGGGCGCCGCTCACTCAAGCCGCTGTGTGTTTCGTTGTGAAAGTGAAACTACTTTGTTTGGCCTTCCAAAAGAGGACATAATGTTTGTAGTCTGTAAGTACGTTTTTTATATTTAAAGAATTTGTCACTGATGATTCAAACGCGAGTTTGGGCAGTGTAGAGTAGGCTTGTTTTTTGTCATTTCTCCGATCACAAATGCAGACATGGTTTTATGTTTACGCGGCACAACTTCTTACTTGCACTTTCTTACTTTTTTAGTTATTTAACTACAGCAGCTAATGAATCTGAGCATCATACACAAGTGTTTGTTATAGTGTCACTTATAAAGACAGACAGTAATATAATTTTTTTCAGTGTAGCCATTTATTAATATGAATTCTTTATCATTTTGTCCTGAACGGTTTTTTTTTTTTTTTTCATCTTTCTAGATTTCTTGAATTTAGAAAGTCTAAATCTGGTGGCCAGTTATTAACCCGAGATTTAAATTTGTAATCACTCAATAAATATTTCACTTTGACATAAATGAGAGAGAAGTTAATCTGCAATTCTATAATGATTTATGAAGATATTGTAATAGCATTAAATTCTGTCATGTTGTACTTAAATTCTATCATGCTCTGAATTAATTTAATCACTCTGAAAAAATAATTTCTTTAACTGCAATAAAATGCCATGGAATTTGGATGGAAAGAGAGCAAAATTTATTCACACAGGATTTTTTTCACACAATAATTTCTTGGTACAAGCGGAAGAAAAGAGGTAATAGAAAAATAAAGCAATAAATAAACATACATTACATTAGCAGATTATTCAACTGAATGAATATTAAAATAATAAAAACAGACAATACTGAAAGTCTTTTTAAATTAACGCTTTAAATATCTCCTTTCTGTAACTTGAACATTGAACTTTGCATAAGAGACTGCTTTAGTTTCTTAAGGTCTATATATTACCTAAACATATTTTGAGAAATTGACATCATTCTCAATGATCAACTATATGTAGGTATCTGAAGGTGAATGTACTTTCATACTAAAGAGGAAGGTCTCTATCTACTTTTGTGTGTGTGGTTGACCATAATCAGTCAGACCATTCATTCTCATCGAGTTCTGAGTCGTCTTCTGAGTCACTATACTCCACTGCAATGCGGCGAGAGAGTATAGTAGCCACATCGTTTCCTACCGGCTCTCTTTTAGCCTGCTGTTCTTGTTGCTCCTGTACTTTCTTTAGTTGAATACCTGAACACACACACAAAAACACATGTGAACACAAATAACACAAAATGCATGTTTACTGCACACACAGTCGTTTGACACTCCTCAATCTTAACATAGCTGTTGAGTTTTGACTACACAACAAAAACTAAAATGATTGAAATGAATTAAATGACTATATATCAATTATATGACTATCAACAAAGACACCTACTGTACATTTACATGTAAGCTATATAAATATTACAATATTAATTGAAATCTGGTCATAATAAAAAATTCAAATAATCCAATTAAAATTATGTAGAGTATCATATATGAAAAAGAAGTGTGCTTAATTGTATTGAATGTGCGCATGTAGTCTACTTCAAATATTAAAAGTATATTTTTAAAAATATGTAGTTGAATTAAATGGCAACTTAAATGTACCTAAAAGAAGTCAATTTTCATGACTGTTTCTTAAAGCGCATATGTATACGTTTAAAAATGCACTTTGTAATAAAGTCAAATCAAAGGTTTTACTTTAAAGTTAATTTTTAATAATTACATTTACATAATCTTTTGCAACGCTTTAAAGAAGTAAACTTATTTTGACGTTGTCTAACATACTAAAGTACATGTGAAGTACTTAATTATAATTTAACCAGAATGTATTAATTGATATTACATTTAAAGTTAATATTTTTAAATGTACTAATTGCAACTTCATTATTATAAATATGTAATTACAAATGTATTTAAATACATGTCAAGTATCATTAATAATGAAGTATATTTTAGTGTACCATAAATGTTTGTCAATACATTCGGGAGCAAAGACAAAGCAAGAAATTATGAAATTACATATAAAGATGTAATTATGCCCTATTTAAGTTGGTCCAAAAACACTCTAAGGTTCAGCTAATTGCATTTAATATAAATTTACACAATGCATTTTCAGTTACACACATAACTAAGTGTCCAAAACATTACATTCAGTTCACACTAAAGTATATTCTTTTAAAATATGTTATTTCCATAATAACTACTCTTTTTAAAAGTATGCTGAAGTGTACTTCTTTTTTACAACAGTGCACTGTACTGTGGTCATGCTAAAGTATGCCACCATGGACAACACTCTCCTGTTGATGTATATAAAATATGCACAATCACACTCCACTTACCCATGCGTATTGCTGAGAGCAGGTCACTGCGAGCGTCTGTGACAGGCTGCAGAGTTAGTCTCCGTCCCTCTCTAAGTGCTACAGGATGAGGAGGTACGGGAGGTGCTGGAGGAGGAGGTGGACCTTCAGGAGGTGAAGCTAAAACAGGTCCAGGAGGTGGCACAGGTGGAAGAGGATACTGTAAGGCTGATGTGATCGGTCCAGGATGAGGAGTAGCTGGAGGTGAGGCAAAAGTCGTCTGTGCAGATGGAATGACGGGACCCGCTGGAGGGGGCGGAGGGCCTGAACTGGCATAGTACTCCATCATACTATAAGAGAGAAAAAGAGAACTTGAGAAACCTAGTTTCTGAAACCTCTCCAAGTAACCTCTACATGGACCAGCATACATGGTCACCAGCATATATTTTGTTTTGGATACAGGCTTTTTACTACTGGCATGAAGTCTGGTCCACTTTTTAGCCTTTTCAGGCCAAGAACTGCCTACTTATGGGGTGGGTTCACCTGAAATAGTTTATAAACCAGAATTAACCAAAAAAATTTGCAGAAATATTGACTTCATAATAAGAACTTGTGTTAAAAAGTATGAAGTACCTATTATTTGACAGCCATAACTCCAAATTATCTTTCCAAAATCTTTCTCAAAAGCACTCACTGTATCATTCCTGTACTTTTTAAACAAAACTTAAGTTTCCAGACTAACTTAAGATCCTGCTCCATATTCTTTTTAAGATCTGTAACGGACAAGGTGGCTCCTTATAATTCTAAACATGGGCAAGTATTGTTGTGCAGTGCATCTTTTTTCTACGCCCATGTTAACAGGTTAGGGGTACTTATTAGGGAAATAATATACTTTAAAAGAAGAATATACTTATTTTTAGATATATAATAGCATGTTAATTGCAATTTAATGAAAATGTATTATACTTTACATTTATATTAAATGCAAATAGCTGAACTTGTGCTGTTTTGAGCCACTTAAGTACATCTGTTATAGGGTTGAAGTAAACTGTCGAATGTACTGACAATCATTTATGCTAAACTAAAATATTCTTTAAATGCCATTTCTATTGAAACTTGTATGTCATGTATTTAAATGTATTTGTTATTGCAATTTAGTACATTTAAAATAAATTGATTTTAAAAGAAATATCAAATAACCCACTACAGTTAAAATGGTTTTATGTACTTTGATTATAATGCAAATGTACTGTAGTATATTAGTCAAGATTTCATCACAACAAAAATGATATATATGTTGTGTGTGTGAGGTGGGACACTATTGCATCGCAGCAGACTTTCAGCATTCTGATACATTTTTGAACACAAAACTACAACATCTCATTTTTTAAAGAGTCCCACATGTTTGCTGTTACCTATATTCTGTTGGAGGAAGCATGATGGTTCCATTGACTCCATTTTCAGGGGGTGGGTACTGTGGAGGAGTTGGATGTGTTCGAGCGAGTACACCCACTCTGTAACCTACATCAGCACCCACACCTACACACACAGGCCCTTCAATGCTGTGGTACTCATGCTCTACCCCGCCATTTGCACTAGATGATGCTGTCTCCACAGGCATGAAGGGATGCGGCTGCGCATGAGTATGGCTGGCACGTGCTTGAGCGTGACATGCTTGGACTGGGTAGCTGTTTGGATGTGGTCTGTTGAAAAGATGATAAATGCAATACATTGCAATAATGCAAACATTGAAATAAAGATTTTTGACTAACTGAACCATAAGAAATGTATAAATTTCATTTATTTAAAATAATTATAAAATACTCAATACAAATATGAACTACTGATCAAAAGTTTGGAATAACTATGAAAATTATGTTATTTATTTTTGCTCATGATGGCTGCATTTATTTTAACAAAATATTGTAAATATATTTTTAGATATTTTATTTTTAACCATTATTTTTTGAGGAATCCTGTGAAAGCAAATATCTACACACAGTTAAATGAATAACAGGTAGACTCTATAAACAGAATTTGTGACTCTTGTAGAAAATTTCTACTTGTTCTGCTTGATGAGGTTAATCAATCAATCAATCATGCACTTGTGCTCTTTGTTTTATTTTATTTCAGCACTTAAAGTTGGCATAAATCGGAAACTGCGATCATCTTTTCGAAGCCAAACAGCTTTTGGAATGAGGAAAACTTTAGGGCAGGAAGAGATTTGTTTATCAGAAATTGACTGGATTGTTGGATATGAGTGATGGGTTACTGGAGGTTAATAAATCATTTTAATACACACTGCAATATTCCATAAAAATAAGAATTGTCAATTTAATTGTAACTTTAAACAACTTGGTAACACTTTCTATGAAGCCCATATTTATAACACATTATAAGGGTATTCTTAAGGCATTATAATGAATGCATAATGCATTATAAAAGACCTTATAATATGTTATATCATTTTATAAATAATCATAACAACAATTATAATACATTATAATGCTTACGCATTTGTGGTTATACGTTTTAAGATTATGATTATTTATAACACACAATGAACACCATATTAAATCTACTTTTACATTTATAATGACATTGTTTATTTAAGATCTGCACAGTACCTTACTTCATCTTTTAAGTGGTTAGGTGCAGAGTGTTATTTGAGTGTTCCCTGTGAGGCTAATATTAATTTTAATGTGAGCTAGTTATACTTTCAAATAATAAAAATGCAATGTTTATATGTTAGGTTACATTTTATTTTGATGGTCCCCTTAGTCTATTGACTATAAGCAACTTTGCAACTACACGTCAACTAACTCTTATTGGAGTATTAGTAGACTTAGGTTAAGGTTAGGGTAGGTAGAATGTTGACGTACTTGCAAAGTTGCTTATAGTCAGTTTGTCTGTTGGGGAACCATTAAAATAAAGTGTTAGCATATATTTAGCAGACATACTACTAATACTCCAATGACTACTAGTTGACATGTAGTTGAAGAGTTACTTATCAACAGCTGTCTAAAGGGTACCATCAAAATAAACATACTGATATTACAATAAAAATAGTTATGTGAACACGTTCATCTGATTTGATATCTGATCTTATGGCTGTTTGAGAAAAAATAAATATTATTATTACTAGGTCTTTGATTGCTTTAAGTAAAGTAGCATAAGAAAGATGGCAAGATATCAGACTTATAATACATTATAACTACAGTATGAGAAATAAAATCCATTGTAACTTAAATGGATGCAATGTGGTCACTGTGTGTTATAAATCATCATTCTCTTAAAAGCTATAACCACAAATAAGTAAATATTATAATACATTAAAACTGCTCTTATGAATATGAATAAGATTATATGCATTTTTTATAATGCATTATGCATTCATTATAATGCCTTAAGAATACCCTTATAATGTATTATAAATATGGGCTTCATAGAAAGTGTTACCAACAACTCGCCTTGTGTCCTTGTGCATATCATGCCAGTGTGTATTTTGCATTGTGTGCCAGTGCATGTTATGTTTGCATTGCGTTGTCCCTTTCACTTTCTTTTAGTGCATTACTGTAGCCATTATTATTTTCATAAACCCTGACTGATGAGTTGATTTTTTTAATGGCAATATGATTATTATTGCACAAATGCTATTTAAAACCGCAGACATTTTCTTTAACTAGTATTTTATACCATAAGGGATAATTTTGGGCATTGAGAGCTGACAAACCTGCCGTCTGGAGACAGCGAGCCCTCAGACGATACACCCCTGTGAAGTGAATGATAATGACGCAGCTCCTTATCAAGAGCCATCATGTTCCATTCTTGTCTGCAGTTATGAGCCTTACGAACCTTTTTCACCTCACGGGGCAATGTACCATCAACACACCGCTTCTGCTCCTGTGTGAAAAGAAGAGAAAGTGAGGACATACTGAAGATGATCTAAGTGATTTGTATGTTAGCTTGAAGAAAAAAAACTTTTTCTGAAAGTTACTTCTGAGCAATACATTTTTCATCTGGCAGAAAAGAAACTGAATAGGTCAAATAGGCAAAAGTCCTTAAAGCAATAGTTTACCCAAAAATAAAAATTCTCAGACCATCCAAGATGAAGATAGAGTTTGTTTCTTCATTGGAACAGACTTGGAGAAAAATAAAAACTGCGTGTTTGTAAGAAACAAATCCACCATTAAGATGTTTTTAACTTCAAATCATTGCATCCGGCTAAAATATGAGTCCTATAACCATAATACTGCTTTGTCTAGAGAAAAATTTGTCTAATGTAAATCATGATATGTACAGATCGAGCACTGTTTACAAGAGGAATCAGTCCAAGACAGTTGTGAGAGAGCAACAAGGAATAAACTTTACTGGAGGAAGCGTTATTATGGATTATGGACAGAATTTTGGACAGAAGTGATGGTTTAAATTTAAAATGCCTTGATGGATTTGTCTCTTACAAACACACAGCTTTTCACTTCACAAGATGCTAACTGATGGACTAGAGTTGTGTGGATTACTTGTGGATTATAGTGATGTTTTTATCCGCTGTTTGGACTCTCATTTTGTCGGCACTCATTCACTGCAGAGGATCCATTGGTGAGCAAGTGATGTAATGCCAATTTTGTCCAAATCTGTTCTGATGAAGAAACAAACTTATCTATATCTTGGATGGCTTGGGAATGAGTAAATTTTAATTTTTAGGTGAACTATTCCCTTAAATTCTTAAATGTAAGCCTAACTTCTTTAGCAAGAATGTTACCAGATTAACAGATGAAAAACATTTAAAAGAGTAATTGCTTTACCCTATGTTTTCTCTTCTCTTTTCTCTTGTCCTCTGTGTCTTGAAGCATTTTTTCCTTCCACAAGTCAAAGAAATAGGAGGGGTCTGTGTAGAACTTAATTCCATCAATATGGTCATCCCTAGATAAAACAAAAACATATTTATAAACCTATAATGCATCTTGAAGAAGAAGAAGAAGAAGAAGAAGAAAGCATAGGCTACACACAAACACACCTGTAGGCAGAGAGTATGTTCAGAGGTGGTGGTTTGTCGCTGGTGTTGTACATCTCTGTGATGGGGGTTGGAATGCTGCTCTTTGTCACCACCTGCTGGTCTTGAACAGTAGAGCTTTTAAAGGCTTTACGCATATTAATATCCTGGAGTGAAACTGTGACAAAAATAAAACAGAGTGATTATTACACAGAGTACATCTCGCCGCACTCCACAGATTTTTTTCCAAATTCCCAAACCAACATTTGCAAAAATTCTGCACCTGCTCTATATTATCTCTGAGTTGAATATGTTTTGGTTTAACAATTTGTGTTGTTGAAGTTCCATTAAACACATTAACCATCATTAAATCAATTCCACGTTTTCTTTAAAAATGAAAACGAAAAAAAGAAAATTAACTCTGGGCCTGTCTATCATTTCTGTATCATGCTGCTAATCAGTGGTATTGAGTTTGATATTGTTTTGTTGGCCTTACTGTGTCATTTTTTTTCACAATCCCCAGTCACCAGCCCTGTCACTACAGAACTACATTTCCCAGCATCCCTCCTGGTTCCCACCTGCACTCAGTCAGCCATGTACTCACCTTGAGTCTCTTCAGTTACACTTAGTGATGGGCAAATTAAGCCACATGAAGCACCAAGACTTTCCTCTGACTGTTCAAAGCTTTGAGAGTGTCAGAAACAGTGCCATCTGGTGGCTGGTAAAAAATAAAGCAGCAAAAAGCCTGTGAAAGACGCCCCCTAGGACAAAGCACCCATATATGAATTGCATTTGGCAAATATTTGATTTTCCTAAAATAATTTGTATTCTTCATATTACTTGTGTGACTGGGTATTTAAAAATATAACTGAATAAGATCTGTGGGTTCAAACATTCCGACACACAAAGTGTGGACTCTGTGTGGACTGAAAGTGTGGCTTCATTTGTCATTGATCACGATTTCTACGTTAACAACACAAGCCTCGGATCGAGGCTTCATCAGGCACACCCATTTATTCTCAACACAAACTCCGATGCCTCGGTTTGAATGTCACATCACTAGTTACACCAGACAGCACCTGCAAAGAAAGGGATTGTTATTCACCTAGCAAAGTTTCTCAAATCATTCAATTAACTTATTTACTCAACTCGGATCACGTGAATTTCTGATATTCCTACTAATAAAGACATGGTTGTACATTACCTCTGTGTCGTCTACTTCTGTTATTGTGACAGAACACCAGATCATAAGTCAAGTCAAGTCAAGTCAAGTCTGCTTTATTGTCAAT